AGCGTACTTAATAAGTCCGTAAATTCTGGGTTGTTTTCGATATTGTTATGCGAACTGAGTACACTTTCAGGAACATGAACGTTGCTTGTGGTATCCTTATATTGGACAATATTTATAACTGATCACATTATTGTGTCAAGTAAGCTTTTGAGTATTTATGAAAAATGAACTATTCATCAGAAAGTACAATGAGATTGAAAATATTTTGTGGGAGAAGGTATGTTTAAACAGAACTGATATATGTCAGCAATTTAACTATAAATTTAAATAGAAAATCCAGTACATTTTATTTTAGCACTTCCCATGACACTTTATTTTATAATAGCAAATATTATCCTTTACACCTTACTTTAGAACTATCCTTAACATTTTATATTAGAATGGCCAATGAGATTCTTAGAATTCAATTTGTAATTTGAACGACGAATAAAAATTGTTTTTATATTCAGTGTTTTTCTTTAGGCCAAATAAAATCAAGTTTTTATACAAATAAATATACAATGATTAATAGAATATATCGTCTAATCAGGAAGCTTGGTTATTATTTTAATTGTTACTTCTGGCAAAATTAGACTTGTTCATGACTCTTACATAAATACGTTTTAAATCCGATAATAAAATATTGTAATTATAGTTCTTGTTTGCCAGGTTAATCAAGAGCTATCTCTTACCAGACAAACAGAAGAATCTATTGCTCAAAGGCGGCTTTCTCGACAAGTAAAGGTCTTGGAATCTCGTATTGCTGAAATGGCACTTCAACAAGTAAGGTCCAAACGCAAACATGAATTGTTGGAGACACGTATTAAAGAGTTGGAGGAGCAAGTATTGCATAATGAAAAAACTATTGACAAACAGGCAGAGATTGAAAGATATGGAGATGATGAGCAAATTGAGAAGTTAACTATAAACAATCAAGAACATTATAATGACAGTCAGAACAGACATAGTAGACCATTGGAAAAAGAAAGCAGTAAAAGTAAGATGAAGCTAACTGCAGGTAAATTAATAAATACTAAATAATGATTTGGATATCCTTCGCCGCCGTGATTTTTTTTCGCCAGATAATTTCTAACATTTCGATTTAAAAGATTTGTCCATGTATTTATCTCATGCATATATGGAAAAAAATGTCGAGTTAATGTCTCTTGGACTGATGACTTGTACATGACTTTGTTCCAGTATTTTCTCAAGTTTTTATTGCAAGTTTTGTTAGAACCGTTTCTCGTGTTCTTCCTTAAAGAAGGTTTGAAATATCATCAAAGTAATTTTTTCAAGAATGATTCCTTATATATTTATATTTCACTTATTTACAAAAAATTGTATTTTATGACTGTTTGCTATACACGTATCTAGCATAGAGCATTCATATGTCGCAATGTTGTTTTAATAAAGGTGGAAGAATAAGAAGATCGTTCCCAGAAAATCCAGTTGCATTTACAGCCATTCTTGACCACGAAGTTCTCCACTCTGGTATTGACCAGACTGTTGTATTTAACAAAGTTCTTCTGAACGACGGAAACGCCTATAACAATCACACTGGTAAATAGATACACTGCTTGAATAGTATGCCCATTTCTTAAAGCAAAGATGAAATGATTTCCTATCAGCAAAATGTCTTATAAAATGTGTCAAGTTCTTTGAGTATTATATGTTACTGTTCTGATTAATCTCCCGACTTTATGGTTGGTTGAATGTGCTTACATGAATAGATTATTACTCGTATTTAGAAAGGATATCAATGCATCATAACATTCTTGCCTTTTCAAGTTAATTGACTTCCGTGTGCATGAACCAGTCATATATCAAATTAATTAAGATGTAATATACGATTTATTTTCGTTTTTGTTTCTACAGTTTATACATACACGCCTCTATCAAATTAAATGATGTCCACGTATGATATATACATTTCTTGTATCATTTTAGGTGTCTTCATGGTACCAAAGGAAGGGGTTTACATGTTTTATTTAGCTTTTGGTGCTGGTTTTGAAGCTCATAGGTTGTGGTTACACATTGTTGTTGATGGACAGGCGAAAGTTGCTGGTGTTGCCGATACAGTACAAACTAACCATGATGCACAAGGCACAAACCTTGTTCTATTACATTTACATAAAGGCGAATCAGTATGGGTTAGCACGTTTGGAATACCGGATGTCTTAATCCATGGTTCTCAAACGTGGACAACATTCTCCGGGGTATTGTTATATGAGTACTGAGGTTTACATGTAGAACTGATATAGAAAGTAAAGTTGCACACGGTGGTTCTGTTGTCTTATTCATTTCTGATCATTACAACGTAAATAACATTTTTATTTATTTTATTATTTCTTTAATTATTTCTTTTTCTTTTTTGCCCTAAAATCTCAATACTCAGGTGAAAGTGAGGACATTTCAAACAATATTTCTAGTCGAGTATTTTTTTTAACATTTTTTACAACATTGATCGAGGTTGAGTCTAGTCTGGTTTTGATTTTGAGGCTTTATCTTCTCTTTATCGTATTTTGACTAAAGAAATAACTATTGAGGAAGAAAAGAAATCTATAAGAGCTATGAATAACAACAATAATGCTACCATCTTTTGATAACATTTTATTAATAAATGAATATTTCAAATATGCAAACAATGATAATCTTTCATGTATTAATTAATCTATTATTTGTAACTGTTCAACATTATTTCAGACTATGATATTTTCCCTGATGTTTAGAGTCGTGGAATTACATAAACATAAATATAAGTATGAAAATAAAAAGGACAAGAATGACGTAAATAATTAATTTTTAAATCTAACCTTAAACAGTTTCAGAATGCATTTAAGTTGGGAGTAGATAATCAGTTTGAAGAAGAGAAAATTCACAAAAAAGTACATACAAAATTACATTATGCTTTGAAAAATATCTGAATATCTTCTCTTTAAATTAAGTTAAACTCTATCTAAATTTTAAAGAAATGTATCAATGTCTGACAGCTGGAAAATGTCGGCATCGTGGTAACCAGTAAGTCACTGGTAGCTAGTGACACATGTATGAATAACTGACATATCAATTGCTAACAAATCAACTAATATCCAGGTAACGCTGCTGTATGACTGTTAATTTAAGAACATATTGTATCATAGTTTAGGGACCTTTCTGTTGACAATGTGTCAGAATTAAATCGTATACATATACATCACAGTGCGTTAACTGGAGTGCAGGTATTATTTACCCGCACTCTAGAGCATGTCCATTGATACCGCCTCCGTGGTCGAGGGGTTAGAGTCGATGACTTCTAATCCAGGTACCTCTCTGGCGTGGGTTCGATCCCCGGGAGATGCTTTGGTAGTTTAGCGCGGAGGAAGGTTGTCTAGTACTGGTGTAACTCTCCAGGAACGATGGTTAGGAAACTATCCGCCTATATGACTGAAATACTGTTGAAAAAGGCGTAAAATGAGACAAACAAACAAACATGTCCATTGATTGGTTCATTTTGTCCGGGGTTTACATATTGTGACGACAAAGAAAGGGATAGCGACGGAAATGTCATAACTATTCGATGCTCATTCATTGGTTACATTTTTGTGGGGTTTCATAATGTGGTATCAGGGAACGTGTTTTTTGTTGACTATGATACAAAAAAGAAAGAACATCAAAACACTCGGTAATCTGATTTATCCTCGGGGGCTACGCCCCCTCGTACACATCAGATACCCTCGTGTTTCGATGCTCTTTCTATTACTAAATCATATTACAGACGTAAAAAACAGGTAGGCTATTCGTTTATATTTGTGAATGATTCCTCTTAAGTATAATTTGAAAAAAGATAAGTCATATACTTCACTTTTCGTAATGATAAGAACTAATCATAATAATTTTAGTGACTTATTTACAGACTCAATCAAACCGAGTCTGCAATTTACACGTAATTTTGTTGTGATTAATACTTCCGAGGGATCACTTTGTTTCCAGATTTTTATAGTTCACAATAGCGGGCGTCAAGTGCTGTGTGGCAGCTGTTAAAAGTACTTCACTTCAGTGTTGTTATATTTTCCTGGTCATTCGGGATCATTGATGCGAGCACTATTAAGTGTTGAGAATTGAGTACCTCTCACGCCGGTGCTAGGGGGCGTGAGGGATGTTGCACTTATTCATTATCCCTCATGTACAGACTCAATCAAACCGAGTCTGCAATTTTCACGTAATTTTGTTGTAATTAAAGTTACATTTAATAAATTTCATAAAAAAACTAAATAGCGACATTTCATTAATAAATTGGGTTTTATATCGACTCAAGGTCTTATTTTAGTGTCCAAACAACCAAAATGAGTTTTATTAGCAAAAAAATAGGTAACCTCATTGTGGCGAAATGGGAAGTACAATTTCTGTTTGCATCAGAAACTCCGCCTCGGATCATCCGTACATCAGTATTAAATCAACAAACATGACTATAAGTTTCAGTCCTAATTTAACGGTATATTTCCGCATCGTAACGGATGTTTTCATACAAATTTAATCTTTTTACGAGATGATTACTTTTACTGAACCCCAGGTTTAGTGCACCGTGAAAGTGTGTTTGCACAAGAAATATCACATTTGCCGTGTTCCGATAGCAACACTGTGACGTAGCGCATACACGAGCTCATTTTAGTCTTCATTTGCATGTTAAAATTCGTATACGAACTTTAGTGTTACCGTGGGGTTTCCCGTTTAACATCCTAATTTATGAACAATATTTGATGAAATTTACAACAAAACTATTAAACAGGTTAATGAAACTGTAGAATGTTTGATTTTTAGGCCGACGGCAAAATAATTTTACATATTTATTTAATGTAACTTTAATGCTTCCGTGGGATCACTTTGTTTCCAGATTTTTTAACATGACATTTCTATCTGTATTAACGTTATTTTATACATGTTCATGATAAGACGACCGTGTCACTGTCATTTTGCAATAAACAACACTGTTATATTACGTCCATGTTATCAAACTATGTACAATTCATTAAGTACATGTTGACGAGATAAGAGCACGAATCACATGAAATTTGAACCTTTTTGGTAAAGAATGTATATTAGTCTTAGTCTGACTTTCAAGATGTCAAGTAGGACAATGATACTTGAGGTTTTATTTACGGCAATTATCGCTCTCTGCCTACAAGGATTGACAGATGCATCCGATTGCAATAATGAAGAGTTTGTTCAAAGGCTGATACTGCTAGAAAATCGGGTAAGACAATGAAATATATTTGTGTAAATTCTCGTAGGGATTTTGTTTATAATATTTATAGTTGACTATGTAAAACGCTAAGTTCTTTGTCACAATAAATTTTATTTTGATTCCCCTTTGGGCTGAGGGGCTGCCTTTCAGGATTTAGACATCAGAAATGCAGCCACCGTTTATCCCTACTTGATTACAGGAGTCTATGCATCTGTAAGCTCCAGCAGATGAGATAGTTTGGTGCTTGTTTAAGTTTGTATTACCCGACGTCAGCCAAAACCATATTTCCTGTTTCGGCGCCACTTGACTAAATTGTGTTAGTGCGCCGTGAAACCAAACCAAACCAAACAAAACAAAATATATTTTGATTTTATGCGTCATTCTCACGCCGAGTAAATCGGATGAGAAATATTGAAATTTGCACCGGTCGATGTATATCTTAGAACTATGTTGATTTTATCATAAAGAATAAGACATGAATGCATATCTAAATAACGATTTAGGGCTAGCTAATGTTGCAAATGTGCCATGAGAAATAGAGACACCAAACAGATATTTTTCTCAACATCCAAAGTAAGAGATGTGTGTATAATGTATTTGATATTAGGTAGGTTCAGTCAACATATTGTATATCACTATCATGACTATATTTGATAATAATATAAGATATAGTGATAATAGTTCTTGTTTGCCAGGTTAATCAAGAGCTATCTTTTACCAGACCAAAAGAAGAATCTATTGCTCAAAGGCGGCTTTCTCGACAAGTAAGGGTCTTGGAATCTCGTATTGCTGAAATGGCACTTCAACAAGTAAGGTCCAACCGCAAACATGAATTGTTGGAGACACGTATAAAGGAGTTGGAGGAGCAAGTATTGCATAATGAAAAATCTATTGACAAACAGGCGGAGATTGAAAGATTTGGAGATGATGAGCAAATTGAAAAGTTAACAAAAAACAATCAAGAACATTATAATGACAGTCAGAACGAACATAGTAGACCATTGGAAAAAGAAAGCAGTAAAAGTAAGATGAAGCTAACTGCAGGTAAATGGATAAATACTAAATAATGACTTGGATATCATCGCCGCAGTGACTTTTTTCGCCAGATAATTTCTAACATTTCGATTTGTTTAAAAGATTTGTCCGTGTATTTATCTCATGCATAATATGAAACAAATGTCGAGTTAATGTCTCTTGTACTCTAAGTGATGGCTTGTACATGACTTTGTTCCAGTATTTTCTCAAGTTCATTGCATGTTTTGAAAGAACCATTTCTCTTGTTCTTTGTATATTTCTATTTTACTAATTTAGAAATTTTGTTTTTTATGACTTTTTGCTATACACGTATCTAGCATAGAGCATTCATATGTCGCAATGGTGTTTTAAAAAAGGTGGAAGAATCAGAAGAAGATCGTTTCCAGACGTACCAGTTGCATTTACAGCCATTCTTGACCACGAGGTTCGCAACTCTGGTATTGACCAAACTGTTGTATTTAACAAAGTTCTTCTGAACGACGGAAACGCCTATAATGTTCATACTGGTAAATATATATACTGTTTAAATAGTACGGCAATTTATAATTCAAAAGCACAGATGAAATGATTTCCTAAAAGCAAAATGTCCTATAAAATGTTTCAAGTTTTTTGAGTATTATAATTATGTAACTGTTCTGATTTATCTCCCGACATTATGGTTGGTTGACTGTGCTTACATGAATGAATTACTACTCGTATTAAGAAATCTATCAATGCATCAAAACATTATTACGTTTTCAAGTTAATTGATTTCCGTGTGCACGAACGTGTTATATATCAAATTTATAAGGATTTAATATACGATTTGTTTTCGTTATTGTTTCTTTAGTTTATAAATACATGCTCTATTACATTTTATGAATTCCACGTATGATATTTGCATTCCTTTTATCATTTTAGGTGTTTTCACGGTACCAAAGGAGGGAGTTTACATGTTTTATTAAGCTTTTGGTGCTGGTTATGAAGCTCATAGGTTGTGGATGCATATTGTTGTTGACGGACAGGCGAAAGTTGCTGGTGTTGCCGATACATTACAAACTAACCATGATGCACAAGGCACAAACCTTGTTTTATTACACTTACATAAAGGCGAATCTGTATGGGTGAGCACATTTAGAATAGCGGATGTCACCATCTATGGTTCTCAAATATTGACTACATTCTCCGGGGTATTGTTATATGAGTACTGAGGTATACATGTAGAACATATATAGAAAGTAAAGTTGCACACATGGTGGTTGTGTTGTCTGATTTATTTCTGACCATTTTAACGTAAATAACATTATTATTTGTTGACCTGAAATCACAAAATTGAACAATTTATTCTTTATTCTGACTAACTGAACTACTTATTAGGAGGAAAAGAAATCTATTACAGCTATGAATAAAAACAGTAATGCTTCCATCTTTTGATAACATTTTATAAATAAATGAATATTTCAAATATGCAAACAATGATAATCTTGCATCTATTTATCTATTATTTGTAAATGTTCAACATTGTTTAATACTATGATATTTTCCGTGATGTTTAGAGTCATGGAATTACATAAACATAAATATAAGTATGAAGATAAAAAGGACAAGAATGACGTAAATAATTAATTTTTAAATCTAACCTTAAACAGTTTCAGAATGCCTTTAAGTTGGGAGTAGATAATCAGTTTGAAGAAGAGAAAATTCACCAAAAAGTACATACAAAATTAGGTTATGCTTTGAAAAATATCAGAATATCCTCTCTTTAAATTAAGTTAAATTCTATCTAACTTTTATGAAATGCACGTCTGACAACTGGAAAATGTCGGCATCTTGGTTACCAGTGACACATGTATGAATAACTGACATATTAATTGCCAACAAGTCAACTAATATCTAGGTTACGCTGCTGAAAGACTGTAAGTTTAAGAACATATTTATCGTATTACAAACGTACAAAGACAGGTAGGCTTTTCGTTTATATTTGTGAATGTTTCTTCTAACGTATAATTTGAAAAAAATATGAGTTATATGCTTAACTTTGCGTAATGATAATAATCAAAATAGTTTAGTGACTTATGTAGAGACTCGGTCAAACTGAGTCTGCAATTTTCATGTAATTTTGTTGTGATTAATGCTTCCCTGGGATCACTTTGTTGTTCACAACAGCGGGTGTCAAGTGCTGTGTGGCAGCTGTAAAAAGTTGCCCCGTACTTCACTTCAGTGTTGTTATATTTTCCTGGTCCTTCGGGATCATTGATGCCAGCACTATTAAGTGTTGAGAATTGAGTACCTCTCAAGCCGGTGCTAGGGATTCATTATCCCTCATGTATAAACTCAATCAAACCGAGTCTGCAATTTTCACGTAATTTTGTAGTAATTAATGCTTCCGTGGGATCACTTTGTTTCCAGATTTTTTAGCATGACATTTCTATCTGTATTAACGTTATTTTATATATGTTCATGATAAGACGACTGTGTCACTGTCGTTTTGCAATTGACAACACTGTTATATTACGTCCACGTTACCAAACTATGTGCAATTTATAACGTACATGTTGACGAGAGAAGAGCACGAATCACATAAAATTTGAACTTGTAAAGAAGGTGCCTTAATCTTTGTCTGACTTTCAAAATGTCAAGTAGGACAATGATACTTGAGGCGTTATTTACGGCAATTATCGCTCTCTCTATACAAGGATTGACAGATGCATCCGATTGCAATAATGAAGAGTTTGTTCAAAGGCTGATTCTACTAGAGAAAAAGGTAAGACAATGAAATTGAAGATATTTGTTTCTAGAAGAAGTTCTTTTGGAATATTTATAATTTACTATGTACAACGATATTTTCTATGTCACAATAGTGATCTAGTTTTATTTTGATACCCGTTTTGGCCGGGAGGCTTATTTTACGGGATGAGACTTCAAAATCGCAGCCACCGTATTTGCAGGAGGCGACTAAATGGGTTCGAATATCTAGAGTATATCAGGGTTCTATGCACCTTTAAGTTCCAGCAGGTAAGATGGTTTTGACCTCTGGTATTGCTTCAAGTTTGAAGCATCCAGGGGTAACCCAAAATCATCTTCCATTTTCGGCGTCATATGACCTTACTTGTGTTGATTCGCTGTAAAACCAAACAAAACAAAATGCCTCTGTTATTTAATGTAAACAGAATCAAATGTCTGGAACAAACTATTATGCTGCAATTTCAGTAGGATTTTACTGTTTATAGATGATTTTATATATGCGTTATTCGCTCATAAAGAAAATCATATATATTTCTTGAATTATTCTTTTTGCAAAAGAAATGAAACAATTCTTTTAACAGAACGAGTACATATATAGATTTATACATTTTAAAAGTTATGATATGCTTCTTATTTGCAGTAGATGAAAATATCAATAAAATGTGTGCACTGCATCTGTTTTCACTTCTTTAGAAGCATTAGCGTATTATTTAAGTTATAATGACCATATGTTTTTTGCAATTATTTGCCATATTGTACTTAACTTGTAATACTATCTTGGGCTTTACCTAATAAAATCAAGGAATAACCTTTCATGAACTCCAGTGCGACAATATACAAGAATATTATAAACATGAAGTTTTAAATACACTATTATCATATGTTTCAAACGTTAGTAGTTACCTATTTATGTCTACCGTATTTTTTCTTACAAGGTTTCGTAATGGTGCCTGCGTGTGAAAGATTTAAACCTTATATTTTATGAAAATAGCGGAGAGTCATCCTGATAGGCCCTTGGTTCGATACAAGAGACCATAAACCGTGCATTTTAAACATAAAATGTGATAACTCGATCAAATCTGAATAAATATTAATATTGCACCTTAAATCAAATTTTGCGAAATAATTTTTGTGTTGAGCCAAAAATTTATTTAGATCTCATGGCCGATGACATCGGATGGGGAATGTTAAAATTGCGTCGGTTATTCTTACGTCCGAATCCATATCTGAGAACTATTTGTTTAGATTGTAATGAATAAGGCACGAATTTATATCTAAATTTTAAAGTAGGAATTTGTAAAATGTCTGTAATATTTAGTAGGTTCTGTCAAAATATTTTTCTACTGCGCGGTATATCACTACAATGACTCTAAAAAGCAATATACAGTGATTAATGAAATATATTTTCTTATTAAGGAGTATGATTATTTTCATGTCAATTGCGACTTCAGGCAATATTAGGATTGTAAAAATCTACAATTAAATACTCATTTTTTTATACGATGATGAAACATAATATAAGTTTGTGTTTGTTTGCCATGTTGATCAAGAACTATCTCTTATCAGACCAAAAGAAGAATCTGTGGCACAAAAGCGACTTTATCGACAAGTAAAGGTCTTGGAATCTCGTGTTGCTGAAATGACACTTCAACAAGCCAGGTCCAACCGCAAACATGAATTGTTGGAGACACGTATAAGGGAGTTGGAGGAGCAAGTATTGCATAATGAAAAATCTATTGACAAACAGGCGGAGAGTGAAAGATTTGGAGACGATTACATTATGCTTTGAAAAATATCTGAATATCTTCTCTTTAAATTAAGTTAAATTCTATCTTAATTTTAAAGAAATGTATCAATGGCTGACGACTTGAAAATGTCGGCATCGTGGTAACCAGTAAGTCACTTGGAGCTAGTGACACATGTGTGAATAACTGACATATCAATTGCCAACAAATCAACTAATATCTAGGTAACGCTGCTGTATGACTGTTAGTTTAAGAACATATTGTATCATAGTTTAGGGACTTTTCTGTTGACAATGTTTCAGAATTAAATCGTATACATACACATGCACAGTGCGTTAACTGGAGTGCAGGTATTAGTTACCCGCACTCTAGAGCATGTCCATTGATTGGTTCATTTTGTACGGGGTTTACATATTGTGACGACAAAGAAAGGGATAGCGACGGAAATGTCATATTCAGATGCTCGTTCATTGGTTACTTTTTTGTGGAGTTTCATAATGTGGTATCAGAGAACGTGTTTTTTTGTTGACTATGATGCAAAAAAGAAAGACCATCAAAACACTCGGCAATCTGATTTATCCTCGGGGGCTACGCCCCCTCGTACACATCAGATACCCTCGTGTTTCGATGCTCTTTCTATTACTAAATCATATTACAGACGTAAAAAACAGGTAGGCTATTCGTTTATATTTGTGAATGATTCCTCTTAAGTATAATTTAAAAAAAGATAAGTTATATACTTCACTTTTCGTAATGATAAGAACTAATCATAATAATTTTAGTGACTTATTTACAGACTCAATTAAACCGAGTCTGAAATTTACACGTAATTTTGTTGTGATTAATGCTTCCGAGGGATCACTTTGTTTCCAGATTTTTATAGCTCACAATAGCGGGAGTCAAGTGCTGTGTGGCAGCTGTTAAAAGTTGGCCCGTACTTCACTTCAGTGTTGTTATATTTTCCTGGTCATTCGGGATCATTGATGCCAGCACTATTAAGTGTTGAGAATTGAGTACATCTCACGCCGGTGCTAGGGGGCGTGAGGGATGTTGCACTTATTCATTATCCCTCATGTACAGACTCAATCAAACCGAGTCTGCAATTTTCACGTAATTTTGTTGTGATTAATGCTTTGGAGGGATCACTTTCTTTCCAGATTTTTTACATGACATTTCAATCTGTATTAAAGTTATTCTATACATGTTCATGATAAGACGACTGTGTCACTGTCATTGTGCAATAGACAACACTGTTATATTACGTCCACATTACAAACTATGTACAATTCATTAAGTACATGTTGACGAGATAAGAGCACGAATCACATAAAATTTGAATTTGTAAGGAAGGTGCCTTATAGTGCTGCAAATTTGTTAAGCTTAGGAACACCTAACTGGTCCCCGATCATAAACAGGGGGTTTCATATACCAAAATGTTCGGTTGAGTCTCTAGATTACGAAATTGAATTTCATTTCCCCCGAAAGTGCTGGCGGACTAAGAAATTCAAGATGGCGTCCAAGATGGCCGCCAAAATATGAAAATTATAATTTACTTTATATTACTTGAATTTTGGCAGTTAAAACTTAGCAATAAGTTCTTTCTTTTCGTTCTTGTATTAATTGTGTTCCTTACATGCAGTTTTAATATGTATTTTAAGGTAATTATATTTTTTGATGATAAAAACAAAAAATAATTTCGAAAAATATACGGAAAAAAATACTTGATACAATTTCTTATTTTTTTCTCTCTTTTTAATAAAAAAATTAATTATAATGACTGATTTTAAAGAAAACAACATGTTAAGCTCGACTTTTAAAAAAAATATAATAAAAATAGATAAAATAAAAAAAAAAATTAAAATAATAGAGGTATTGTTACAGTCATGTCGATGTTGACGTTTCCGTCAGCAAACTTTAACTGTGATAATTACTTTTAATCTTCTTTATGTTTTGTCTTCATACTTGGCCACAACAACCTTGGGGCAAGATCTTTAAGTAGCCAACACTAAATTTGACCTTCATTCATAAATGACCTTGACCTCCAAGGTCAAATGTCTAAATTTTGCTTATTTTTTTCTGATTTTTGCTATTAGATAACTTTGTTATTTTCTAATGGATTGTCTTCAAACTTGAACATAATAATATTTCTAGGATACTAGACCTTCGAGTTAACCAGACAGACCTTGATCTTCACTCATAAATAACATTGACCTTGAAGTTCAAATTATAGAAAATTTATTTTTATTTATTTATTTTTTTCTGTGTGTGTGTGGGGGGGGGCTGTAACTGGCTATAACTTTGTTAATGATTAATGGATTCACTTCATATTATAACACAACATTCTTTAGGATATGACTTTCATGTATAAATTTAAATTGACCTTGGCTTTTTATGACATTGACCTTGAAGGTAAAATAATTGAATTTCCACTGATATTTGCTACAATTGGCTGTATCATGGTAATTGATTTATGGATTATCTTCATACATTGACAAAACAACACTTTGGACAAGACACACTATCCCGAAAAAAATGTAATTAAATGAAATAAAAGGTGGAACTGACTTTGAACTTGAACTTTAAATAATCTTGACTGTGAAAGTAAAATTTTTAAATTGTCATAATTTTGTTATTTATGTACGGATTTCATTTATACACAACTTGTTACCAATATATATATTTAATAATTAAGAGTTGGCCTTGACCTTAAGTTGAACATGACTGTTAATGTCAAATTAATGAAATTCTCTTGTTTCATTTTTGGTTTTTTAACTGGCTATAACTTTGTTATTTATAAATTGATAACCTTTATTTCCAGACATTTTAGGTCAGGACCTTTATGTATATTAAATTAAAATTTACTTTAACTCATGAATGACCTTGACCTTGAAGAAAATTTATTGAATATTAACAGATTATCAAATAATTGGCTGTAACTTGGTAATTAATCAATGGATTATTTCATACTTGGACAAAACAACCTTTTGGACAAGACCTTCTAAAAGGTTGAACTTACTTTAACCTTTAAATGACCTTGACCATCATGGTCAAAGTATTAAATTTTGGCGGTGGCTCTTGTTAAATTCAAAATCTAACATTAAAAATTTTCATTTAATTACATTTTTGGGATAGTGTGTATTTTTAAGTGGGGTATGGGGAATGATTAATTTATTTAAATTTCAAAATACTGCAAGTATCCTAATATAACCTTTTTTTGACAACTTAAAAGACTTACATCTATTTATCTTAAATTTCAGAGTCATTGCTGTATAGACAATGCACTAATTGTGAAATATGAGAATATAAGTATAATTTCAATTTTAAAATGCTTAAAATTTAAACAGCAAATCTGTTTACACGTTCCTTATTTCTTTTCCCTTCTTCATGAACTTTTACACATATCTTTCTAACATATAAAGTTAGTAAATTTTAGAACCAATATTTAGTTTGTTTGTTTGATTGGGTTTTACGTCACAGGTTATATGGCGATGTCCAACTTTACTGTAAGATGAAGACCTCAGGTGCCCTTCCGTGCATTATTTCAGGCACAAACGGGCACCTGAGTAGAACCACCCACGTTGCGTAAGCTAGCTGGATAGCTTCCTCACATGAAAGAATCCAAAGTCCCTGTCGGGATTTGAACCCACAGCGGTGAGGAACAAAAATTTTGAAGGCCACGACCACTCGGCCACGGACGCCCCACCCGAATATTAAGATTTTAGCTTTTCTTTTCATATGTTATACACAAAATTGTCTATCAATATTTTTTACTGAATGAGTGGGATAGAAAATACTATATTTTACGATGTTGCAAATTTATAAGATTCGAAAATGCAATAAAATCAAAATTTTAATATGTTGAAATGATTAATAACTGTAATAAAATAGTAAAGGATGAATTGACATTAATTTCCATGAAAAGTTAATTATTGAGGTTTACTATTTAAAATATGATAGAATATATTATATCTATGGAAGAAAGACCTGTTTGCTGTTCAGATTGGAATATCTGTCTCTCTGAAACCGCCCATGAGCTACCCAGCAACTCTGTGGACTTTGTTAGGTAACCTTAGGACAAATATTACAGTCCGAAATGCTGCATGTTACAGATATCATCATTCTGAAATGCACTTTCTGTGCTTACTTTTATATAACAATTGTTGGTCATTGTCGAAATATGAAAAATATAGTATTAATTTTAAATATAGATTTCGCTCTTTGAGCACAATGATTACTTATAGCAGACATGCATAAAGGGATACAATTTTTTGTGGATTAAATTAAATTAATATCCATAGAGTTAAATCTTAAAGGCCCATTATGCCTCAGAAATGATTTCATTTTTATTTCTCAAAAAGCTTTTTCATGTTGGTTTTCTTTTATAGTATCCAAATAGTTACTCATTGGCTAATTACCAGAACTATCTTTTTCATCTCTTTCTTTTTGGCAATAAGTACAGTTATAGTATTCTGTATAGAAGTCAAAATACTACTTTGTTTACATTTTGCTACTTTTATGACAAATTATTTTACATTTAGTGCTACTTTCGTAGGATAACAAGTACCAAACATTCTCTAAAACCATTATTCCAACATTATAAAATTTATGTTTGCCCTTTCTAAAGAAGTAAAAAGATATTTGTTTCTGAGGCCTTTAATTAATGAGTAATGAAGGAAACTATTGGTTACTGTATTTACCAGTTCGACTTTATTGAAAAGTTTCTAGTGATGCTTTGTTTTTTTGTTAATCTATTTTCCTAAAGTTTGCTTTATGTGAAATTATTTTACATCTACGTTTCTAAAATGTCTTCAGATCAGTTTTGTTCAACATGCAGGCTATAATTTATCTATTACTCCCCTGCCGCTTAGGGAAAGGGTTTGTTTGCAGGAATCTGTTTGCATAATATTCATGTCCGCTCTACTACGTTCAAGCTGCTAATAAGTATTAAAAAGAGGGCCATTATGGTCCTGTACTTGAGAAATATTACTGGAAAAGGTCACAATTCTGCGATTCAAAAGTCAGTAATAAGGCCACATTAGGTTGTCATTTTTTAAGAGGTCAAACATTTGTATTATGACCACTAAGCAATAATACATGCCAAATATCAAAGCCTTGGGCATTGTAATTTTACATAAAAAGCTTAAAATATGTTTTACATGTACTATGTAACTCTGCTAAAACTTAATGACCTTTATTAAGAGTGGACTTTTGACTCCAAGTGCATGCCTGATGTTTCTTTGAAAAGGACTCTACAAAAATAATATAAACCATGGCTGTGGGGTCAAAATTAGCCCTACCCTGGGGTCACTTAGTTTATATTGACTTGGATATAGGAAAATACATTTAAGTCTTAGTTATGAAATTATGAAACTACAATGCTACAGGCTTAGATAGATATTCATCATTGGGCATTCTACAAATATTCTTTTTTAAATCAGCTAGGGTAAAAAATGACAAACCCAATGTAACCTCATTACTGACTTTAAATCAACACTGAAAATTTAAAATTTGGACCTTTTCTGGCAGAATATATCAGGTGAGGGAGCCAGGACCATCAGGCCCTCTTGTTTTCCTATTTTTACATGGAAAATACTTATTTCATACAAGTGACAATATAACTGCATTTTGAAACATATTTGATTAAATGATGCAATGAAATTTCAAACATTAATTTCTTTAAATTTTGTTTATCTTCAAATATTGCAAATTCCCAACAGTATTAAATACATTTGCTATGTACCCCCATCCACTCAGTTACATACTTAAATGACAAAGTAGAACATGTTTTGGAAAGAAAAACAAATTCTCAATGTTTTATTTACTGATAAAATATGCCAGAAAGAGTTTATATGTAAAAAATATTTTGAGGGAAAAGAAAGAAACTGCAAAAATTGACTGTTAAAACATTAAGTCACAGGTTTTAAATTAAAAAAACATGTATTTTCCTCATATTTCACAACTAGGGCATTGTCTATTGTGCAATGACTCTGAAATATGTAATAAGGAGTAGATTCAAGTCTTTTAGACAGTCAATATAAAGTAATCTGAAGTATTTTTTAAATTTTAATAAAATTACCATTTTACCCCACCCACTTAAAAACACATTATCTTAAAAATTATACTAAAATGATAACTTTCATTGGCACATTTTGTTTGTAAAAAAAGTTGTTTCCTGTAAATCAGTCATAAGGAAACAAATCATTATTGAATTGCAAGAAAAAAATAGAAAATGTAAAGCACATATTTAAAAAAACAGCAATTTTTAGAAATATTTAGCCTTAATTATCGGTTTTTATCATAAAAATTCTACTAACATTATTAATAGATACTAAAACTAAATTTAATAAATATATTTAATATCAAAATGTTTAAAAAACAACTTTTTTTAAAAGTTAATGCTTGCAAATTTAAGTAATAAATAATAAATGATTATTTTCATATTTTTGGCGGCCATCTTGGACGCCATCTTGGATTTCTTAGTCCGCCAGCACTTATGGCAAAAATGAAATCCTATTTCGTAATCTAGGGACCCAACCGAACATTTTGGTATATGAAACCCCCTGTTTATGATCGGGGACCAGTTACTCCCCTAAATAAGCGAGTTATTTGAGTCTATTTGCAGCACTATTAGTCTTTGTATGACTTTCAAGATGTCAAGTAGGACAATGATACTTGAGGTTTTATTTACGGCAATTATCGCTCTCTGCCTACAAGGTTTTGCAGATGCATCCGATTGCAATAATGAAGAGTTTGTTCAAAGGCTGATACTGCTAGAGAAAAAGGTAAGACGATGAAATATATTTGTGTAGATTATTGTAGGATTTTGTATATAATATTTATAGTTGGCTATGTAAAACGCTTAGTTCTTTGTCACAATAAATTTATTTTGATTCCCCTTTTGACTGAGGTACTGCCTTATAAGGTTGAGGCATCAGAATTGCAGCCAGCGTTTATCCCAACGTGATCGTAGGGGGCAAATAAATGGGTTCGAATTACAGGAGTCTATGAATCTGTTGGCTTTAGCAGGTGAGGCTGTTAGGCGCCACATTACGTAAATTGTGTTGACCAAACCAAACAAAACAAAATTTATTTTGATTTCATGCGACATTCTCATGCCGAGGAAATCGGATGAGAAATGTTGAAATTGCGCCCGTCGTTGTTACGTTTGAATCTATATCTTAGAACTATGTTGATGATGTTATAAAGAATAAGGCATGAATGCATATCTAAAGAACGATTTGGGGCTAGCTTATGTTGCAAATGTGCCATGAGAAATAAAGACAACAATCAGATATGTCTCTCAATATCCAAAGTCAGAGATGTGTGTATAATGTATTTTGATATTAGGTAGGTTCAGCCAACATATTTGTATTCTACTACAAGGTATATCACTACAATGACTTTATTTGATAATAATAAAAACAAGAAATATCTTTCAAAATGATACTCGACCGAACGTCATAAACTTAGGTTACTTAATAAGTCGGTGACTTCTGGGATGTTTGCGATATTTTTATGCAAACTGAGTAAACTTACAGGAACGTGAACGTTATCTGTGGTCTCGTTATATTGGACAATATGTATAACTCCGCAAGTTATTGTGTAAAATAAACTTAGTAAGTTCTTATGAAAAATGAACTATTCATTAGAAAATGCATTCACATTAAAAATATTTTGTGGGAGAAGGTATGTTTAAACAGAACTGAGATGTGTTAGCAATTTAACTGTAAATTTAAATAAAAATCCAGTACATTTTATTTAAGCACTATCCATGACACTTTATTTTATAATAGCAAGGAACTATCCTTTACACCTTACTTTAGAACTATCCTTAACATTTTATATTAGAATGGCAAGAACTATCCTTTACATTTTATTTTAGAATGGCAAATGAGATTCTAAGAATTCAATTTGTAATTTTAACGACGAATAAAAATTCTTTTGGTTTATACAAATTTATTTTAGTTCGATTGTGTTGGAAGCTATGAGCTTATTGAAACACTCTCGAATCCGTTCCTGGAACCAACCAGTACTAAGCAATGAATGTAAAGTTTCTTGCTCAAGGAAACAACGGCTTGCCCCTGACAGGGTTTGAACCCACACGGTCAGCAATCCTTAGATTACGAGTCCGACGCGTTAACCACTCTTTTTATATTCAGTTTTTTTTTCTGGCCAAATAAAATCAGGTTTTTATACGTAATATACAATGATTTATAGAATATATCGTCTAATCAGGAAGCGTGGTTATTATTTTAATTGTTACTTCTGGCAAAATTAGACTTCTAAAAAATAATAATTCATGAATACGTTTTAAATACCATGATAAAATATAGTTATTATAGTTCTTGTTTGCCAGGTTAATCAAGAGCTATCTTTTACCAGACCAAAAGAAGAATCTATCGCTCAAAGGCGGCTGTCTCGACAAGTAAAGGTCTTGGAATCTCGTGTCGCTGAAATGGCACTTCAACAAATCAGGTCCAAGCGAAAACATGAATTGTTGGAGACACGTATTAAAGAGTTGGAGTCGCAAGTATTGCATAATGAAAAACCTATTGACAAACAGACAGAGATTGAAAGATTTGGAGGTGATGAGCAAATTGAGAAGTTAACAATAAACAATCAAGAACATTATAATGACAGTCAGAACGAACATAGTACACCATTGGAAAAAGAAAGCAGTAAGAGAAAGATGAAGCTAACTGCAGGTAAATTGATGAATATTAAATAATGATTTGGATATCCTTCGCCGACGTGACTTTTTCGCCAGATAATTTCTAACATTTCGATTTAAAAGATTTGTCCGTGTATTTATCTCATGCATATATGAAAACAATGTCGAGTTAATGTCTCTTGGACTGATGACTTGTACATGACTTTGTTCCAGTATTTTCTCAAGTTTATTGCAAGTTTTGTAAGAACCGATTATCGTGTTCTTCTTTGGAGAAAGTTTGAAATATCATCAAAGTAATTTTTACAAAAATGATTCCTTGTATATTTCTATTTTACTTATTTACGAAACATTGTATTTTATGACATTTTGCTGTACATGGATCTAGCATAAGCATTCATATGTCGCAATGGTGTTTTAAAATAGGTAGAAGAATAAGAAGATCGTTTCCAGACGTACCAGTTGCATTTACAGCCATCCTTGACCACGATGTTCGCCACTCTGGTATTGACCAGACTGTTGTATTTAACAAAGTTCTTCTGAACGATGGGAACGCCTATAATTTTCATACTGGTAAATAGATACATTTTTAATAGTACGCCAATTTCTAATTAAAAAGGCTTTATAATCAATCATATTAAATTGATTAAGGATATGTTGCCTGCTTTTTAAATTTGTCTTTCGGCGTCTTATCTGTGATATGCAGGCTTCATAACCTCTGATCCCCTCTAAAAATTCCATTTTATTTAGTTTAGCTCATTGTTTTCTTGTGTAGGGCACACGCATTTTTTTATTTGGGGACCATATGGCGCTTTTCATGGGTCACATCGACGGTTCCATGTTAACCGCCATATGAACACATCTGTTGATGTTTCAGAATTCAAAATTGTACCAGTTCAGTTCATGTTAAATGAACAAGCTCAATCAAACCGAGCCTGCAACATGATCAATTTTGTCACTTGGGCTTTGTTTAGGGATTCTTATTTTCTCTATTTTAGATCAAATATACGCATTCTTTCTTTCTTTTTTTTTTTTTGGTTCTATAGTTTACAAATACATGTCTTGTTAGGGATTCTGTTTTTCTCTATTTTATTTTGTAGACTGCACTCATCTGATATGTTTATCCTTTTGATTATTTTCAGGTGTTTTCAGTGTACCAAGAGAAGGGGTTTACATGTTTAATTTAGCTTTTGGTGCTGGATATGAATCCCATAGGTTGTGGATGCGTATTGTTGTTGATGGACAGGAGAAAGTTTCTGGTGTGGCCGATACATTACAAAATTACCATGATGCACAAGGCACAAACTTTGTTATCTTACACTTACATAAAGGCGACTCAGTATGGGTGAGCACGTTTATGGTATCGGATGTCACCATCTATGGTTCTCAAAAGTTGACTACATTCTCCGGTGTATTGTTATATGAGTACTGAGGTATACATGTAGCTCAAAGTTTTTATTTATCACCGGCGCTAAATAAACCATAAAATACTTTCATGCATTACTTATTTTGCTATACAATGCGTTCTAACTAAATATTTCAAAGAAGAGTTTGACTGTTGGATATGTTCTATGTAAAAGAAAGAGCATCTAAACACGAGTCTTTCTTGTTTGTACGATTGGGCAGGTTGCCGAGTGGTTGATGCTCTTTCTTTTTTGTATTATCTAAAAGAGACCAGCTGTCACAACATGAAACCCAGAAAAAAGTAATAAAATGAGCATCTGAATATGACATTTCTATCGTTATCCCATTGTCTGTTGTCGCACTATGTAAACCCCAGAAAAAAAGAGCCAATCAATAAGCATGCTATGGGGTGCGGGTAACTAATACGTGGACTCAATTAAACGCGCTGTTCGTGTATGTGTATGCGTTTTACATCAGACTCATTTTAAACAGAGGGTCATCAAACTATGATACAATCATTTTTAACTTTACAAACATGTTGCATACATCGAACTCTCCTGGGGAAAATATTATTTTCCACTACTAAAATTTTGAAATAATATCGGTCTTAGCGGTGTTTATCGGCTATTTCGGCTATTTTACACTGGTTTGGAGTTTTGATGCGTAGGAATTGACGGCGAAGGCCGCAGGTCTGAGTGGTTTATTTTTTGGCACCAAAACGACAAAACCGGTGTATAATAGCCGATAAACACCGCCCTGATCGATATTATTTCGATCCTAACAAGATAAAACCAGGAAGATCACTAGCGCTATTTTTTTCAAACAGAGATTACTTCTACTGCCGATTTTTGTATTACGCTATTCAATTTTGCACCATACTGTCGCTACGACAATAGAAATTAGTAAGCTAACAGAATATCAAGATAAAAGTAATTTCATCAAGTTTTCATACTGTGTTGTACTGTGTTTAACCATCATTCTTGTCAATTTGAAACGACGTCCTTCGACGCCTAATTATGAATAAGTTGTATACTTAGAATGACGTCATCACGCTACTTTCGAATTTGCGCCGTTTGTCACATATAAATTTAATAAACTGATATGAATCAAACATGTGGCCTAATGTTTGTAAGATGTTATTTCAACATTGTTTGAAAAGAAAACATAAAACGGAAAATGTCAATAAAAATGCATTATTATTGTCTTAAATAAATTGTTAACTGTATTATCGAGGGAGAAAAATATAACAGCTGTATATACATTAACCCATTACTGCATAAGCATTTTGTGAAAAATGGCTGTTTTCATTGATAAGTCTCCCGTTACATGTTCAAATTGCTATAAAACTATAAAAAAAACTGTGTCAATACTAATCAAACTTGGCACACATGTTGACTTGACCATTGTCTTTGTAGCAAGATGCTCAGTCTTAAATTTCCTTGGCAACGAGGGGACATCTCAAAATTGCCAAAAATCACCATTTTGCATGTTTTTTTTTTGTTTATTTGTTTTTTTTTTTTTCATGTTTTTTTTTCATCAAAATTGATTTAAAAGTGCTGCAACGCCTCGATGGATTTAGATAGAGTCAAAGGCTTTTCAGCGTTGGTTACACGTTACCTTATGATCGACCTGGGGTCATTTTTCGCCTCTCACAAGTCCAAAATTTTCTTGGCGATGACGGGGACTACCGCACCCCCCCCCCCCTTCACCCCCCCCCCTTTCTTGATTGAGGCAGCGCCGAAAAAGTGATCACTTTTTTCTCGACATTTCTCATACGAAAAAATGTGTTTGGGGCACAAACAGGACATTTTTTTCACTATTCGAGGCCTAAAAGAGGTGGGAGGTTGAAAGTACGTTGTTTCGCGTATATACGAGGTAAAGAGTTTAGTCCTAAACCAATGTTACAAAGGCTTTTTCTTCTTTGTGTATAGTTACAAAGTCACGCAGGAGTGTTAGAATTTTATTTCAAGAGCTTCGTTTATGACAATGTTAAGATTATACAGCTCAATACAATGTGTGAGTTTATCGTGGAGCGATCGTTTCGTCAAGTTAGTTCAAAACAGTTTATTGAACTAGTACGGGAATGCCAACAGTGGAAACGTAATGTTTCAAAAGGAGATACATGTAGTTTTGTCTGTCAAGCAGAATATTGAAAATTAATTTTCTAAATCATTTATATACCACACAATAGTCGTCGCCGAAATACAAAGATACACAAGAAGCATGCAAAATCTATTAAAAGCTGATTAAAGTTTGTGTTGCGCTATACAGTCACTTAAAAGCTTGTATATAATACTGACTACATCTAACGTCCTTTTCTGTATATATCTAAATTCATTTGGCCTTCTTGTCATAGCAAATGCCAACTGTTTTAGCTGCGTATTCTGCTCTGAAGTTCTTCGAGGCCACTATGTACACCACTGGATAAACGGCCGTGGATAACTTGGCAACGACTGGCGGGATAACGGACGCTAGCATTGTCATCTCGGATCCATGATTGACGAGCGCCCACAAGGAAAAGAATCCGTACGGAGCAAATCCAACAGTAACGATGAAGAGATTGGCAAGAGCGATCTGAAATGCATAGATGTTTTTAAAGATAATCTCTTCTTAATAATAGTAAATAGTACAATAATTTGTATATACCGTATGTTAGATGATAAATATGCTGTTATAGGGTAGTGCTGAAAATAGTTGCATTTACATATTGTCTTATATTTGGTTTATATATTTCGCAGACTTCCTTTTACACGTTTTTAGATCTTAGTGAAATTTGAAAATTTCCTTCAGCAATTAAAGAAAAATTGAATTCAAATCTCAAAACATTGTTGAGTGAAATCATCGTCCTAAAAGCTATTTATAAAATTAAATATCCCACTGCACATGCTTTTCAAATGAAGTTATTAAATACTTATATAACAACATATTGGTTTACTTGCATTCCATTACACCGCGTCGCCAATAACGCGTTAGTGGCGTTCGTTTCTAAAAGTAGAAGACTGGGAAACGAATTGTCCGCTTTTAAATAACAGAGTTATTTTCTCTTAAAAGTTTTTCGAGAAATTACCATCAATTTTATGAAATAATTTAATTTCACTGTTTTTAAACTTTTACAATTTTTATTTTTATCAGATAGTGATTTATACCCGTTAAGAGGTAATTTTCTGTAGATAGAAGTCTGTTTAGTATGTTTTGACTTCTAGTCAATATCATTATTCTTTTGAAGAAGTGCTTCCACATATCTCAATCGCACATAAACAAACAATCACTAAGTAAAAAACAGATTTATTTTTGATCGATTGTGAGAAAATGGTGAAGCTTATTTTAATCTCTTACGTACGAAAGACCGGTGGGGACATTTCAACTTCATTCATTCCTGATTTTGAAATCGTGAATTCATGAAGTTGAAAACGTGAATTCGTGAAGAATGAATCCGAGAATTCAAGAAGTTGAAATGTCACCATCGGGTTTTCGTAATATCAAGCCCGCTTCCTAAAACTTACAACTGGTGGTGTTATTTGAGGAAACATTGTGACCATAGTAGGACTCGAACCCATGACCCCTGTTTTAGAGGCAGACACCTTAACAACTAGTCCATTCAGTGTCCTTAACAGGGTTTTTAGCCAAAAAATCAATGGTCGGTTGATTCGCATATTTGGCGAATTTTTAAAGCATGGTTAACAAGGAGGAGGGGAGGGTATTGTTTTTGTCCAAGTTTTTTAATACATCAGGACAATATTGCTAACAATGATATAATGCATACAGATGTGTTGCAGGAATTTACTTTTAAATATGCTTAAGTACGGAAATTTATGACATCTCCGTACCCACGGGGGATCACATGACTTTGTATGGTAATACAAACGAGTAATGGCGACTTCTGAGCCTCGATAAGTTTATTAGTTTTATAAATTTAGGTAAGAAACGTTTCCTTAATCCAAAATAAACAATTGTCTTAAAATCTAATTGTAAATATAAAAGCTTATGAACTAAGATAAATTGTTTGTAGATTAAACTTAACGTAGAAACCAAGGAGAAAAAATGTAAGTTATATATCGCATTATTCGCGACAAAGTCGTCAAGAAACATGTACCGATAATTATATTTTACAAAAACAACTGATTAAGCATTCGTTAATTAGGAAACAAAAGCAAAATATTCTATCACAGTTTAAAGGGGCTTTTTAAGCTTTTTACAATGTAAATGTAATTATTAGGGACAACAACAAAACGATATCATACTTTACCTAATTTTATTTTATAGTCATACATAGTGGCATATGTAATTTATCTCACTGAGTAATGTCTTAGTTAATCTTTGGCATTTTATGGGCACGACTCCATTAATAAAAGCCAAAAGGTTTGGATACCGGGCATACAAAACCCTGTTAGGGCATCCATAGCAAAGCAAACAAATGACACAAAATCAAAACAAGCAAATGGAACAAACTGTATAGCTTTTTGGAACAGTATGTTCTAGAAAATCATTGATCAAAGCTGTTCAAGCAATACTAGTCTTTCAATTCTTCATTCACAAAATAGTCAATTTTCACAAATGTATATGAGCAAAACACAGCATTGACACTGTTGCGCGAAATTGGTTCTGGGAAGCAGAAACCAGTATCGCCAGTATCACAAAATGTCTATTCGCCGGCCGTGAAAGTTCATAGAACACATCTCTGGAGTCGCACCGTTGTCGAATTCTCTCTGCTGGTGGTTTTGGCACAAGCAGTTTTCCTAAAGATACCTCTTCCGTGGTATTTAGTAGGGCTAGCTGTCTTGAAACACGTCGCTTATGCTTGCTAATCTGAAAACATATCAAAAGAGGCCAGAAACAACGAAACAAGCATGACGCTAGTATTAAATTTAAGCTCAAATATTTGACAGTTCACACTCATAATTGACCGAGGAGGGCGGGTGGGTTTTTTTCAACAATTCATTTCTTCCATTGTTACAACATTCGACGCCAGCGTTAAAAGGATATGACGTAGATACAGTACCTACGTCATAACCAGGGAAGGGTATAAGTTGTTCCCCAAATAACAGAGACTATTCTATAGAAATAGTCATCATTATTAGGGACAACAACAAAACGATATCATACTTTACCTAATTTTATTTTATAGTCATACATAGTGGCATATGTAATTTATCTCACTGAGTAATGTCTTAGTTAATCTTTGGCATTTTATGGGCACGACTCCATTAATAAAAGCCAAAAGGTTTGGATACCGGGCATACAAAACCCTGTTAGGGCATCCATAGCAAAGCAAACAAATGACACAAAATCAAAACAAGCAAATGGAACAAACTGTATAGCTTTTTGGAACAGTATGTTCTAGAAAATCATTGATCAAAGCTGTTCAAGCAATACTAGTCTTTCAATTCTTCATTCACAAAATAGTCAATTTTCACAAATGTATATGAGCAACAACACAGCATTGACACTGTTGCGCGAAATTGGTTCTGGGAAGCAGAAACCAGTATCGCCAGTATCACAAAATGTCTATTCGCCGGCCGCCACTAGACTTCGGATGGTGAACGGGAGATTTCCCGTTTTCCAGTCGAAGGCTCCGCCAATAACATAAAATATTGGCTTCGCCAATATCATATTATTATTGGCTCCGGCGAATTGAATATTTAAAAAAAAATTAGTCGTGCCCAGCCATATACAACACTGCCATGTAGGTAATTCAACTTAGCAAATAAAGCAGCATTCCAGCAAATATGCATATACTAGCGCTCATAAATCAAATATGACACTATCTGAAAGACAATAATTTGGGTAGTAACCATCAAGATCTCGAGTTCAGTGCCATTTCTCCTGACATGAATATAGCAAAAACATTCAAACTGCTCCAAATATGTGCTAGCTAAATGTATATACATTTGGCAGTGCATTTTTTCGAGATATTATTTAGCAATAACGTTCAAACTGCTTCAAATATGTGCTAGATACATGTATACAATAAGTGCATTCAATCAACGTGAACTATAAATTATGCATCAACACGTCAACTTTTCAAATATACATTTCCTGAACCACCCTATGCCATAGGTGTTCGGCGCGCTGATCGGCCACCCACCCCACAACCCTCCCACCCCCCAAAACCATGTAAACTGCAGTATTTTTCATTTTAAACATGTTTTAATATTTGGTATATGCTTTTAATTCAATTACCTTCATTTCCCACAAAAATGAAAAAAATAAATTGATTTATATATACATATTTAGTAAAGGTATGCAACTCGCTGCACATTTTTCAGCACTCATCTTAATATGAACTCCATAACTCCAACGTTTTTCACCAATTTTCAATATTATGGTTCTGAAAGGTTTGGAGGGCCGCAAAGTGGACGAGGGGCCCCCGGGGGCAGCCACCAACCAACGCGCCGAAAACATATGCCCAATACAATAGTGACCATCAAGATCGTGAGACCTGCATGACTCTGAGGGCAGATATTTCCAATTGCACTCCATGGGTTCGAATCCTTCCAATTCAACCGACATGTTTAATAATGTTACATTAATCAGGTCTCCATTTGTTTATAAATCGCATGATGTAAACACTTACATTCCATGCGTATAGAAGACTAGCAACAATTCAATGCATCATATCTTCGACAAGGCAGAACACTGGTATTACATTTTAAGTATGCTTAGCAGCTATTGTCATTAGAATAGCATGCAATATTAACGTGTTAGAAATTGTCCTAATTTTTTACCCCACAATTGTACATAGGTTGCCACAATTGTACATACATGTAGGTTCGAGCTATATTTTTCAATTTGCAGCATTTCACACCACCCATCCTGGACAGTCCTGGACTGTCTTTCTTACAACTGTGTGAAGCGCTTATTTAAAATAGGTACTTATACTAATATACTTAACTGAGCTGTAAAAAGATTTGAAACAATTTATAGATTTCATGGAATATTTACTAATAAAATATCTTTATTGGCCAAAAACATACTAAATTCCCAAACTCCAAGAATAATGGTTTAAGCTTTTTGTTGGACATAAATTCTACTGCCAGTGTTATAAGCAATTACACAAAATATTCTTTCACTGGTCAGTTTGCAGCATCCAGCTATACTGTCAGTTAAAAGTTGTTTGATTCTGTATTGGTTATTAGTCAATTCAACCAATTAATAGACTTAAATAAACATTGATTATAATAATACACATGTATTTACATTTTATTTTAATTGAAAGCCACACTGCAATACAGAAAGCATTTGCTGATTATCAGCCAAGACATTTTTGATTATCAAATTAAGTAGCTGCTGAAAATAAAATAATATAGCTTAATAATATGGTAATTTAAGTTTTGAACAAAGTGAAACCTTAGAACATTGCCAACGTATTTGCATCATTTTATTTAGACATTGTAAAGTTAGTGTTTTTTATGTGCCTTATTACGTTTATTGTTAATAAAATAATCCAGACAGAAATCAACAAAGTTTATTACGATGAAGATAAATAGGCAATCATTTTAAGAACAAAAATTATATAAATAGCAAGAGCTTAGATGGACTCTGAAGTGCATAATAATTTATTACAAAATTATGAA